TCTATCTATCTATCTATCTATCTATCTATCTATCTATCTATCTATCTATCTATCTATCTATCTATCTATCTATCTATCTATCTATCTATCTATCTATCTATCTATCTATCTATCTATCTATCTATCTATCTATCTATCTATCTATCTATCTATCTATCTATCTATCTATCTATCTATCTATCTATCTATCTATCTATCTATCTATCTATCTATCTATCTATCTATCTATCTATCTATCTATCTATCTATCTATCTATCTATCTATCTATCTATCTATCTATCTATCTATCTATCTATCTATCTATCTATCTATCTATCTATCTATCTATCTATCTATCTATCTATCTATCTATCTATCTATCTATCTATCTATCTATCTATCTATCTATCTATCTATCTATCTATCTATCTATCTATCTATCTATCTATCTATCTATCTATCTATCTATCTATCTATCTATCTATCTATCTATCTATCTATCTATCTATCTATCTATCTATCTATCTATCTATCTATCTATCTATCTATCTATCTATCTATCTATCTATCTATCTATCTATCTATCTATCTATCTATCTATCTATCTATCTATCTATCTATCTATCTATCTATCTATCTATCTATCTATCTATCTATCTATCTATCTATACCGGATGGCGCACCATTAATATTCAACATAATTTTGTTAACCCTTGATGGATTTCAAAATTCTTTGTTTTGTTGGCAATTCAATTCTAAAACTTTTCTTACTCTAGTAATTTTTCGAAAAACCTCATCATTTTCATCAAAAACTCGAATAACTGAAAACGAGCGCTCTAGGTGTGTTATTTAAAATCATCGAAAATTCAAAAGTTGGCTATGAAAATACTGACACGAGGACTAGCTGTAGAGAACTCTTCAAGAAACACAAAATCCTTACATTGTACAGCATATATATATTGGAAGTATGTATATATTTCTATAAAATGAACAGCACTGCAACTTGCCTACCTAAGCATGATCATAACACTCGCTACTGCAATTTTTTACAACCCAACTCTCACTCCACTACACTTTATCAAAGGAGTTTTTATTTCATCGGGTGCAAATTGTATAATAAATTGAATGATGAAATCAAATCCGCACCCAATGTGAACATTTTCAAAAAAAGATTGATGAACGTTTCAAATTAAAAATGCTGTTATTCATGAAACGAATTCTTTGTTTGAATTATAACACTTCATTTTGTACTGCTATATATGTCTATTTACCATTTATTCATCTATTAATATATTTATTTATATGTTTTGTATGATATTAAGTGTTTTTGACGTGTTTGTTCATTTATATTCCAGATGTGAATATTTTAAATGGAAAACGAATGAAGTATCTATCTATCTATCTATCTATCTATCTATCTATCTATCTATCTATCTATCTATCTATCTATCTATCTATCTATCTATCTATCTATCTATCTATCTATCTATCTATCTATCTATCTTTTTTTTTTTTTTTTTTTTTTTTTTTTTTTTTTTTTTTTTCAAGGAGGAGGGGAAATCTTGCATAAGACACCTGTGAGAGGTAGTGCTGGATTCTTACCAGCTAAAACCCCTCCTCCTTTCTCCTTACTCTTCACATTGGTACCGCAAAAGCATTTCTTCAATGTGAGAGTGGTCAACAATTATCGTCCTTCAATTTCTGCTCTCTAGCTCTTTTGTTTCCACTATGTATCTAATCACTCGATAAGCTTCCTTCCATGTTTGTTCAGATGTCACTAAGCTTTCCATCATAGTATCAGCGTTAAAGTTCAATCCCGTCGCTAGGGCATACCTATTTCTGTTTTGTTCCCACCTGATGCATGCAAACAGTGTATGCTCTGCATCATCTACCTCCCCACAGTAGGTACATTTATCATCCTCAGCTCTCCGGCGGTCGTACAGGTATTTACGGAAGCAGCCGTGCCCCGATATAGCTTGGGTTAAGTAATAATCTACTTCCCCGTACTTTCTATTAATCCACTTCTCAATCTGTGGAATGAGTCTGTAGGTCCATCTTCCATATTTGTCTACGTTCCATTTCTCTTGCCATAAACGTAAGGTATTCGTCTTTGCCTCTCCTGTCTGTATGCCTCCGTAGGTTTCTGATCTTTCCTTTATGAGCAGTTTTATTGGTGGGATCCCTGCAATGACTCCTGCTCCTTCCGCAGATATGGTCCGGTAACCACTGCAGACTCTAATGCACATAAGTCTTTGGAGTTTTATGAATTTCGCCAGTAGTTTTTTATTCTCTGTCACCGTGACCCAAATAGGCGCAGCATACAGGAGTTGACTGTGTAACACACTTGCAAGCACATTTCTCTTCGACGATCTGGGTCCACCAATATTCGGCATAATATTTGTCAAAGCTGCCATCGACTTCTCTGCTTTTTCGGTCACTTTCTTAGTGTGTTCTGCGAATGTGAGTTTTGTGTCAAGCCAGACACCTAGGTATTTAATGGCCTTACTAGGAGTTATCGGAGTTCCAAGGACATTGAACTCTATGGGTGCTATTTTCCTTTTTGTCGTTAGAAGGACTGCTTCGGTTTTTTCGGGTGCCAATTTGAGCTGCCTTCCTTCGAGCCAATTCGAAACCTTTTGAAGTGCTGTGTTTGCATTGACCATTAAGATTTGCTCTGTCTGGGCAGTGATTACCATAGCGATGTCATCTGCAAAGCCTATGAGGGTCACGCCATCTGGTTGCTTCAGCTCTAGCAGGTCATTGTACATCACGTTCCATAGGGTTGGGCCCAGCACCGATCCCTGCGGAACGCCACTGGTCACTTGTTTTTCCTTGGATACGCTGTCGTTCTCTAAAATTATTGCTCTGTCCGATAGATATGATGTTATGATGTTGATAAGGCTCTCCTCGACTTGCTTTTTCCTCAATTCCTCCAGAATAATTTGCCATTTCGCACTGTTGAAAGCGTTTCTCACATCGAGCGTTATAACTGCGCATAGGCGCCTGTGTTGTGCTGTGAAAGTCTCAGCTTCTCTCGCAATTTCGACCACTTTTCGGATAGCATCCACCGTTTGGCGACCTTGTCTAAAACCATACTGTCTTCTTGATAGGCCTCCTGTCCTCGTTAGTTCGCTGTTCAGCCTCGATAGAATGAGATGCTCGTATAGCTTACCTTCTACATCTAGAAGGCAAATTGGTCTGAAAGACCCTGGATTTTCAAGCGGTTTATCTCCCTTCCTCAATAGTATCAGTTTCGCTCGTTTCCATTCTTTTGGGAAGGATCCCCTGCTTGCTAGCTTGTTGTATACAGCAAGCACGTACTCTGATTTGCTGGAAGCTACCTGTTTGATTATTTCCGGAGGGATATTTCCTGGGCCAGGCGCTTTGTTGTTTTTGAGCCTCGATTGAGCCATCAACAGTTCTGCAACGGTGAATTCGGTGAAATTTGCATTCATGTCTGGGTCGAAAACTACTGGCTCGTGTGTGGGAAAAAGGTGTTCTGCTATCTCCTCGATCTTATGAATTTCCATATTCTGTCTAGGAGGGTAGCCTACTAGTCTTTTCATCATTATCTGATAACCGTCACCCCAAATATCCCGGTCGATGTCGTCACATATATTCTTCCAACATATTTTTTTTGCTTTACTAATGCTATTCTTCAATAATGTTTTGCTCGCAATGTATTCTTCCCATAGGATTTGGTTTTGCATTGGTTGATTTCTTCTCTTGTTTCGTGTGTATATTCTTCTTTTTCTTATGCATTGTTTCCGAAGCTCAGAGATTTCCTCGTTCCACCAGTACACTGGTTGGCGGTTCTTGTGGTAGACCCTTTTTGGCATGACGCTGTCACAAATTTCCGTAAGTGCTGTCGAAAAACCCAGATGAGACGTGGTATCTTCATCTGCCACTAATTCATCTAACGATATCTGTAGCCTCTGGCTGTTTATCTTCTTGATATTCCATCCTTGGTTCCTGTGAGATGTTCGCTTGCGGATTTGTGCTGTCGTCCCCACTTGGAAGATGATATAATTATGATCACTGAGAGATTCCCTATCACTCACTTCCCAGTGCGTTATGTTGTTCCTGATACTCTCTGTTGCAATCGTCAGATCTAGAATTGATGAGTAATCTCTCCTATGAAATGTTGGCTTGTTTCCTTCGTTCACAATGATGAGATCATGCTGTGCTACCCATTCAGTGATTAGCTGGCCTCTCCGATCTGTATACATCATACCCCACTGAACGGATTTGGCATTGAAGTCCCCAATAACGATAGATTTCTCGTTTGTGGTTCTGATCAGATTTCCTATCTCTATAAGAGTTCTTTCAAGTTCTTCGATATCTCTGTTCGGCGATGCGTAGCAGTTGTAGATCGTAAAATCCGCAGTTGCCACAAACGAGAAGCCGAAACCTCCACCGTGCCTCCTTATTGCTATCCGCTGGTCTATCAATTTTATTGCTGTGTCTAAATTGTCATCAAATATCCAGTCTTTTCTGTTTCTGATCGCGTTTTTGTTCGGTTCATTCAAAGCAATAATTCCCGCTTTTATTTCTTTCGCTGTTGCAAGGACCATGTCATGTGCTGCTCTGCTCCTGTTGGTATTTATTTGGATTATATGCATCCTTACGTGTTTGAAATGGCGGTTCCTCCCCCTTCTGTCTTTTTAAATTGCGACTGATGGCATTTTCGGCTTCCGGATTGGTGCCCTGCTTGTTGACAGTGAACACAGTAAGCATCATCCTGGCAATCTTTCGCTTTATGGCCCTCCTTGCTGCATTTCAAACAGTTGTGCTCCCTGTCTGGACCAGTGCAGTTAGCTCTTGTATGGCCATATCGCCAGCATCTGTAGCATTTTTCCTCCTTTTTCCTCTCATTTATTCTGCATATCACCCATCCGATTTTGATTCGTCCTATCTGCAGCAGTTTCTCAGCATCAGAATTAGGCATAACAACGGTTACGTTTTGTCTTTGTCCGTATGCAGGTCTGAGAGCTCTCACCTCAAAACTATCACGCCTTACCGCGATGGCCTCAGTGATAGCGTCTTTGATTTCTTCTTCTGTCGAAACCTCGTCAAGGTCCTTTATGTGGATTACTGTTTTGTTAACCAAATGAGATGTTGTGGCCACAGGGACTTTTTCTTCAATTTTCCTCTTCAGAGCTTCGGCTTTCTCGTAGCCATTACTCACAGTGAGGAGAATGTTTCCGTTTTTTGTCTTCTTAATGTTTTTCACTTCAGCTCCTAGTTCACTGGGGTTGACCGAGCGTTTGACAGTTCTCAGTAGGTCAGCATACGTCATATCTTTTCCAGATATGAGAATTGCCTCGTGTTTTGGTCTCTTCGTCTTTTTCGTAGACGTAGCGTTCGAGTCTGACCTATTTCTTGTTACGACTCCATTACTTACCTTAGGTATTGTGGGTTTGTTAGAGTTTTCTTTCGCTTTGTATAATGTAATACTTATGTTCGTGTTCGAGAATAGGTATTCTATGATTCTTTTGATCAATGTACCAACTACCCCCTCCATTTCTGGTATAGCGGCTTTCGTCCGGCCATATCTCACCATGTACTCCTTGATGGACAGAAGTGAGGTAAAGAGATCTTTATCCTCCGCTTCGTCTACTCTAGTTCCGTCAGTTGCTATAGGATAAAAAATGTTCCTTGTGGTACTCGTGATGTTCCCATTTCGCCAGTCTTGTTCTGGAAAACCTATAGCATGGGTCATCATGGCGACTTCTCCTTTGATCTTATTCTGTTTACGAAGACCTCCTTTACCTCCGTAAATTTCAATTGCTCTTTTTACCATTCTAAAATTCGTCTCTATATTCTTGTTGCACGGCAGTATGATATCCTCATCTTTTAGAGCTTCCCATATATTTTCCCTTCGTTCTTCCATCCTTTGAAACACTTCAGTGTCCCAGTCCTCTTCTGTAGCTCGTTGGAAGCTTTCGAGTGTTATTTCAGCAGTGAGCTCCTTTTTTCTTTCGTCCTTCCTTTGGGCTTCTTTACATTCATTGCAGATCATAATGTTATTGCTTGGAATGGGTTGTTTCGTTTCTTTATCCAGCCTTTCCTCCATGTACTTCAGCTGTTTACGAAGGTTCTGATTCTCCTTCTGTAGTTCCTTCTCTCTAGTTCCTTGGGCGGCCTCACTGATCCATCCTTCGAGTGCTTCACTTTGAAGTTCCTCCACATGAAGAGCTAGCTTCCCAGTTATTTCTAGAAACTCTTTTTTTGGTTTGTATGCATCCTTGAGCACAGTTTCAAACATCTTTATCCGTTGACACATCTTCCCGACAATGCTCATGTATTGGACACCATAGTCCGGATTATCGAGCTTACCATCCCGATAGAAGTCCACTCTTTTTCTCTTGAGTGAATTCTCTGAGCAGATCTGACCTCTATTCCTGCCTAAATCTGATAAGGAGCTAGTTCTCTGTCTTGTAGGCGTCCTCTGTATCGCACTACTTTTTGCAAAAGGGTTTGCTATTTCCTCCAGGACAGTACTACTCTCGAATGTCTCAGCCATATTCCTCACCAATCCTCCAATCTTTGTCGTCTGCATGCCCCCCCCAGAATCCGTGGGGCAGCCCATCTCGTCGATGGGGCGGGATTCTGGACCAGTCCCGGTCCTACCCGCCTGGGGTACAATGTTATTTACGTCCGACATTACCCATTTTTTGAGTCGTTCTTAGTTTTCACTGCTCTGGCCAGACCTGACCGGCTTGGGAGGCCCTGCTGGGGTTTGAAAAAACCCCGCCGGCATAGCTCTTGGCCATCATTGCAGCTACTTAAGCCCCCCCACCACTCCAAGGTGACGACTCCTCGGGGAGGATCTATCTATCTATCTATCTATCTATCTATCTATCTATCTATCTATCTATCTATCTATCTATCTATCTATCTATCTATCTATCTATCTATCTATCTATCTATCTATCTATCTATCTATCTATCTATCTATCTATCTATCTATCTATCTATCTATCTATCTATCTATCTATCTATCTATCTATCTATCTATCTATCTATCTATCTATCTATCTATCTATCTATCTATCTATCTATCTATCTATCTATCTATCTATCTATCTATCTATCTATCTATCTATCTATCTATCTATCTATCTATCTATCTATCTATCTATCTATCTATCTATCTATCTATCTATCTATCTATCTATCTATCTATCTATCTATCTATCTATCTATCTATCTATCTATCTATCTATCTATCTATCTATCTATCTATCTATCTATCTATCTATCTATCTATCTATCTATCTATCTATCTATCTATCTATCTATCTATCTATCTATCTATCTATCTATCTATCTATCTATCTATCTATCTATCTATCTATCTATCTATCTATCTATCTATCTATCTATCTATCTATCTATCTATCTATCTATCTATCTATCTATCTATCTATCTATCTATCTATCTATCTATCTATCTATCTATCTATCTATCTATCTATCTATCTATCTATCTATCTATCTATCTATCTATCTATCTATCTATCTATCTATCTATCTATCTATCTATCTATCTATCTATCTATCTATCTATCTATCTATCTATCTATCTATCTATCTATCTATCTATCTATCTATCTATCTATCTATCTATCTATCTATCTATCTATCTATCTATCTATCTATCTATCTATCTATCTATCTATCTATCTATCTATCTATCTATCTATCTATCTATCTATCTATCTATCTATCTATCTATCTATCTATCTATCTATCTATCTATCTATCTATCTATCTATCTATCTATCTATCTATCTATCTATCTATCTATCTATCTATCTATCTATCTATCTATCTATCTATCTATCTATCTATCTATCTATCTATCTATCTATCTATCTATCTATCTATACCGGATGGCGCACCATTAATATTCAACATAATTTTGTTAACCCTTGATGGATTTCAAAATTCTTTGTTTTGTTGGCAATTCAATTCTAAAACTTTTCTTACTCTAGTAATTTTTCGAAAAACCTCATCATTTTCATCAAAAACTCGAATAACTGAAAACGAGCGCTCTAGGTGTGTTATTTAAAATCATCGAAAATTCAAAAGTTGGCTATGAAAATGAACGTCAAACTTGACAATGAGGCAAGTGAGTTGTTCAATTAAGTAATTGTTGTTTAAGTGTTTTTAAAATGAACGGGAAGTTTTCCATTAACGAGCAAGTTGACATGCTGTTAGTGCTATGCCTATATATAACTCCTTAGGGAAGTAACTTGGTATAGAGGTATAGGGCGTTAAATTGCCATATTTTGGGACCCCCTACATGCCCCTGCCCTATGTCGGTTGTTATGTGAATCACCCTGTATAGAGGAACGAATACTCATATAGCGCTGTTCGACATATATATTGCCAGGTTGACAACTAAAGGATGTGCTGACTGCGCTTGTCGAGTTCGTCTGGTTGGTATTGCTGGTCGTGGAACAATAGCAGAGATTTCTGAAGAACATGTATCGTGGAAGTATCTATAAAAAAGTGAAAGGTCGCCGCCTTTCTACGATTTTCCAATGATGTCAAAGTGTTACAGAGTGTGTCATTACCCACCGGGCGAATGGCTCTTGTCTGGATGGAATCTAAGAGCATCAGAGTATGTTTGGGTGCCGAACCTCATATGTGAGAACATTATTCTAGAACAGGTCGTATCTGAGCTTTGTAAATCATAAAAAGCTGTTGATGTGTAAAGTAGCTCTTCGCCCGAAATAAAAATTCGAGTTGTTGTGAAACAGTTTTCGCGATGGATCTGACATAATTATCATGAAAGAGTATTTCTGATAGAGACACCGAGCATAGATATAGTTGACTGGTGGAAATGTTGGTATCAGGTATACTGAGTTCCGCCTTTCTACAGAAAATATACAGGCTTGAGTTTTCGCGGCGTTGAATTCAACTAGGTTGTTGGTTCCTCAGGCTGTAATTTCAGCAAGATCTTCATTGATAGCAATGACCTGCCTTCACCGTGAGTTCTTAGTTTCCTAGAAAGAAATGGGAATTCTGAAAGAGAACGTAGTATGGAGAGTACTTTCATCTGCAAAACTGTGGATAGAGCAAGTGGTTGCTCCCAACAGATCATGGATATGAATTAGGAACACTGTTGACGCCAAAATTGATCCTTGTGGAAAGCCGGAATTGATGGCAATGGTATCAGACGATACACCGTCGTCCACCACCACGTGGAGTGATCTGCCTGAAAGAAAACTCGATAACCGATGGCATAGCCATAGATTAACGACTCGCATAGCTGAGGTGGTAAGCCGTATGATGGTAGTTTGTGAAGTAGTCCTTGGTGCCAAACACGATCGAATGCTTTCGACATGTCTAACGCCACAGCTAGAGATTCCCCATGTGTTTCTATTCAACGGTTAAAGGAAATAAAACCACTATATTCCACTAACAAAATTGATTCACATAAAAATAACATTTTTTCACCACTAGCTATAAACCCTACCATTATTTACTCCTTTTCGAGGCGTGAAGTGTATTTTTACTACCAAGGTAGTTTTCGTTAGTTCATGAACCACCAGTCAATAAAGACATAGCTACCTCTGATATAATCAACCCGAATTCACTATTCTGATGCGAGGTTTGTAGTGATGGCACTTGATTCTGGTAGCTATTCAACAGAAACAACAACAGGATATAATCTTGGTCCCTAGATGATACTGATATTCTCAATTACCTTGGTGTATAAATAACTAATATTCGATTGAAGTCATTTATCACATGTACAAAATTTCGATAAAATCAAATACAGGATGTCCTATCAAAGATAACAAAAATAACGTCACTTCCTGAGATACCAAAAAGCTTGGCGAAGAAAACGTGAAATATATGTTTTCTGGTAAACGTTAGGTAATCGCCATTGGACAACGTGTACTCCCGTTTAAATCTCTCTGACGCTAACACCAAGAGTTCAGGTACAAATACGGGTAAACGAGCATATTGGATAGGAGAACGTAGAGATTATGTACCTCACATGGACAACATATCAGGTTAGTAAGTTATGATAATAATTGCAATGATCATGAAAATTAAAATAAAATGATTGTGGATACAAAAATAACGAAAAATAATCTGTCGAAAACGTTTAAGAAACGTTAGAGGATGTCAACATTTGATCATGGTTATTTGGAACAGTAACACAACGTTTATTTCTCGTAGAAAATTTCGTTGAGAACCGGGCAGTGTCCATCGGTTTCTAACGGGTATTTACTTTGAAATTAGTAGTTGAAAACATGTTTGTGACGTGTCCTGGTTTAAAACAACGTGTATGTCTGTGACATTTTTGCGTTAATTCGACGTGATCGAGAGTTTTCATAAAAAGTTATTTCAACCGACCGTTGTTATTTTACTACGTTATTTCAACGTCAGTGTGTTTACTGGGTTAGTTCCATCTATTGTTTCGAGATGTTTCGAGATTCTTTTGTCGCCATATGGATGTTCGGGAACATGCTGATACATGTTAGAATTATTGAGAAGTTCGAGAACAATCTGAAACGCGTGCTACAGGGAGATCGTTGTAGTCCTACCTACTCGATGATGTTCAAGTCCCTCTCAGGCGAATATCATCACAATAACCAAGGAAGATAAAACACTAGCCACAACTGCCCAGGAGAAAGCCAACATTTTTGCGCATTTATTTGCTGGAAATTCCACTCTGGATTCATCTGAAAAACAATCTCCAAACATAACGCCAGTTGACAGTCATATGCCCGAGATTACCTATCGCCAACGAACTATAAGGACAATTTTATTGGGTCTCAACGCCAACAAAGTTTGTGGCTCCGACGGAATACCACCGATTGTTCTCATGGAATGTGCTCCCGAACTAACACCTGTTCTCTGCAAGTTGTTCAACTACTCTTACAAATTGGGGATATTCCCGTCCAACTGAAAAATTGCAAGATTACAACCAGTTCCTAAAAAAAGCAAAAAGACCCTACCTAGCAACTACAGATCGATCGCACTGCTATCTATTATTTCAAACATCATGTAGAAAGCTATCAACATCGAGCTCATGAAATACCTGGAACATTCAGGTATTATCAACGATTGGCAATATGGCTTCTGTCATCAGAGATCAACTGGTGACCTGTTCGCTTAGGTCTCACATATATGGCAGTAATCTATTGAAAAATATGGTGAAACCTTAGCCGTGGCACTTGATATCTTCAAGGCATTCGATCGAGTCAGGCACTACGGACTCCACGCCAAGTTTCCATCTCATGGCTTGTTTCCCCAGCATTGTTCTCTGCTAGCTAGTTTTCTCTCAAACAGGTCTCTTCATGTAGTGGTCGACGGAGTTTCATCTGACTCTCTCATCATGAATGCTGGTGTTCCGAAAGGATCAATTCTAGCCCCAACATTATTTCTACTCCATATCCACGATTTGTTGGAAGCAACTTCATGTCCAGTACACAGCTTCGCGGATGATAGTATCCTCCATACCGCCTACTCTTCCAGGGCTCCAATACCAGCCAGGCAAATCAAAAACGAACGAGGAAGAAATATTGACAACATAAATATGGAGTTGGCAACAATTCTCGAATGGAGGTCTAATAACTTGGAAGATTTCAATGCAAACAAAACACAAGCATGTATTTTCTCTAGAAAAGCTGATCCCACTGTGCCCAACATAAGCTTGTCAGGAGTAACCATACCTTTGAAAACATCCATTTCGATGCTTGGCGTCACTATCAGCAATAACCTTTCTTGGGAAAATCACGTGAGATCAATTGCTAAAAGTTGGTTTCCTGTTTCGGGCCAGGAGCTATTTCACTTCCAGTCAGTCGCTTATGATCTATAAGGCACAGATCCGACCTGTCCTGGAATACTGTCCCCATATTTGGAGTGCAGCACCAAAACATACCCTGAAACTGTTGGATTCTGTCCAAAAAAGGGCAATTCGTCTCGTGGGTGATGCCTCGCCCACAAACTCACTCACTTCTCTGGAACACCGTAAGTTGGCGATCTGGTTCCATTTTATAGATATTTTCATGAACGATGCTCTTCTGAAATATCAACAATTGTTCCTCCCTTGGCAGTCCCCGCGAGATTAACCCGTCGAGTCGAGGCTTCGCACCCCTTCGTGGTCACTTTGGAGACCTGCAGAACACCTCTTTCCAAAGACACGTTCATCCAACGAACAGCGAGGCTCTAGAACACATTGCCAAGGGAGGTGTTCCTCGAGGCATATAATCTCCAGAAATTTGAGAAGAACACCAATTCCTACCTCATTTTTCTTGGTTCTCACGATGTTCTCTGAACATTACAGGATATTCCTTTTCGTGGGAACCAGAACATAAAAAAATTTATATACATTTGAAAAGTGGCTCTGCTGAATTCTGTCGAGAAATAGTAAAGCCACTGATTTTTCCTAATGGAGATGAATGGAAAAGATGGCAATAAGGTAGTGAATCAGCCTAAAAATAAGCGCTATCATTTATGTTCATCATTAAAAGATATTAATTTTCAAAAATGTCTTCGCTGAACTTATCCAAAGCTAGCACGAAATTAGTGTGAAAAGTAGGGTGAAACAAGCAATTCAAATTCTCACCAACGATGACACTGTAGAAGCTCTAGACTGCAAGGTAGTAGCGTTGATTTCTTTCAATCGATCAATCAACTTCCTAGAATCCGTTGTCACAATAAATAACGCTGCTCCAACAGCAAATGCCGTCTGTCTAGGTCGTCTGTTCAAAGCCCATGGACTAAGTGACGTGCCACTGTCCATAATAGCCGCACCAAATAGATCTGTAAGAATTGTTATTTTTGTATCTAGAGCGCAAAATGCTACTTTGGCGATCGAGATCTGATTTTTTCAACGAGGCGTAGCCGAGTTGAAAAAATAGTCGAGATGACCAAAGTATTTCGCGCTCGTGCTGCAAACAATATTCTTTCTTCAAACGTCAAAAAACATAGTTCTAAAGTAAAAATATGCTTGGCTTGATATAAAAAATAGTGTTGAACTGGCTTAGGAGGCCTCCCCCTATCCTCCCTAGGTACGCACGATGTTCCACGAACATAATAGGAATTTCCTTTCGTGCGCTCCAAGAAATAAAACGAAGGTATTGTTGAAAATTCAGAGATGAATGATTTCGTGGATGTTTGCTCGATTGAGGACCATAAAGTTGAAATATAAATATCTCATATATTTTACATAACAATGCGCGAAGTAGGTACTTCGCGCAGTGTTTAACTTCGCGCATTGTTTTGTAGGAAAATGAAGAAAAGTCACTTCGCAATTTGCTATCAATGCGCGAACCTTGAAATTTTTTGACGTTCATAGAAAATAGTTACTTTTATAACTAGAGCGCGAAATGCTACTTTGGTGATCGAGATCTGATATTTTTAACAAGGCGTAGCCAAGTTGAAAAAATAGTCGAGATGACCAAAGTATTTCGCGATCGAGTTGCTAACAACATTTTTTCTACAAACGTCAAAAAATATAGTTCTATAAAGTAAAAATATGCTTAGCTTTATATAAATAATAGTGTTGAACTGGCTTAAAAGGCCTCCCCCTATCCTTCCTAGGTGCGCACGATGCTCTACGAACATAATAGGAATTTTCTCTCGTGCGCTCCAAGAGATGAAACAAAGTTATAGTCGAACATTCTGAAATGAATGATTTCGAGGATGTTTGCTCGATTGAGGACCATAAAGTTGAAACATAAATATCTCATATAAGTATTTTACATAAGAATGCGCGCACTGTTTTACTTCGCGCATTGTTTGTGTTGTGTTGGATTGGCTCAAAAGGCCTCCCCCTATCCTCCCTAGGTAAGCACGATTTTCCACGAACATAATAGGAATTTCCTTTCGTGCGCTCCAAGAGATAAAACAAAGTTATTGTTGAACATTCAGAAATAGATGATTTCGTGAATGTTTGCTCGATTGAGGACCATTAAGTTGAAATATAAATATCTCATATATTTTACATAACAATGCGCGAAATAGGTACTTCGCGCACTGTTTTACTTCGCGCATTGTTTTGTGCAAGGTATCATGGTAACGTAGGAAACTGAAAAAAAGTGTCACTTCGCAATTTGTTATCAATGCGCGAACCTTTCGTCATTTTTTGACGTTTGTAGAAAAATATATTTTTAGCCACTTTTGATTCACATTTTCGAAAATCACCTTGTAACTCTGAAATAAAGATAGAAATCGATATGCGGTTTCAACCTTTGAGTTTGTCATGTAAATTGATCGATAGGCACTGACATCAGTTTTCTCAATCTTGTACGGGAATAGGGATTTATCTTTGAAAGTCCCCAATTTGGCCCACCCTGTACATCCCCAGTACGTCCATCTAGGACCATGAATACCTGATTCAACGTAAATTCGGCTATTCCTACTCAGATAGTTGAAAAAAGAGATTTAGACAGAGTAGAAAAGATCTTATTTCGAGTAATAGTTATTTATTATACAAGGGAAAAAAGTAGTAGATTTTAGCTCCAGGTTGTGTTGTCTCCCGACGCATAGCGGAGGGAGACAAAAAACCGTGAGCTAAAATCTAATATTTTTCCCGTGTATAATACACTATTTTTTTCTGTGACAGGAGGAAGGACGAATCAATATTGAGAAGATATTACATTATTTCGAAATCTGAAAATTATCGACGTGAAATTTCAAGTTTTTAACAGTAGGGACACCTGCGTTTTATAGACATCTTTATCATTCTTTTGAAGTAATCAAATATCTGATGTCACTTCTGTCAGTTCAATTCTGTGATTTGATTCTAAAAAATTGCGAATTCAGTAGTTGTTTAGTAATATACGAAACCGCGAAGTCGAATGGAAGATAAAAGGACTTGCAGTTCTTTCTCGGAGACGGTATTATTGACTCATTTTTCGGAACTATAGCACAACAAAAGCCATCCACAGTGTATATATATGTGATATATATCCGGGAAAAAAGTACTCACTTTTTTCCCACGGGAAAAAAGTAATTTATGAAAAGTGACATTGTATAACCTGCCAACAGAGATGAACTGCCAAACTTTTTTCCCGTCACAGAAAAAAACAATTTTAAAAATGTAATCCTACCGGGGATCGATAACATGACCTTCAGATTACCAGGCAGATGCTTTACCTATCACTCTACAGAACACTTATTGATATATATCAGTATACAACAAGATATTATGTGCGAATGTCGATTGACCCTTCACATTGATATACTTTCATAGAATTAGATGACCACGCCAGAGAATACCTAAATAGATGTTTTGTGATTAGGTACTGCCAGTAAAATATGAATTGTGGGTATTGTATTATGTTCATGTTTGCAAGGTTCCTACATAAATAGATATCAGAGATCGAGGGTAGAAATTATATGCAATGATTTCAATTATCATTATACAATTCATTCAATCCCGTCTAAAAAAAGTCGATAACGTCCAGAGTTGAACGTACTCAGTACATCGGAATCGTACGTACCCAGTACGCCTAGAAATGAACGTTTTCAGTACGTCTTATTGAGAAGGTCCCAAACGTTCAGACCTGAATCGGGCCTAAAATGTACGTCCCCAAAACGTCGAGTACGTGCTATATGGCTGTTAGGGTTTCAAATATCAATATGTCTGCACTCGTTCGATGGAGGGGTACAAAAATATGACATTCATCTCTATTATGATTCGCATTGTATAGAATTAACCGAATCCTCTCTATGGGACTATGTATCTATTCAATATATTAAGAAGAAATAATAGAACTTGTTTTGGATCAACTACGGTCATCATCAGATATAAAATTCTTCCACAATCACTTACCTCTCGAAACATTCGATTGCAAGTGATAGGCCACAGAAGCTGCCCCTGCGCTGTCACCAAAAATAGTGACGTTCTCTGGATTCCCACCAAAAAAGGCGATATTCCTCTGCACCCAATTCAACGCCAACACTTGATCTTTTAGCCCGGCATTCCCGGGGCAGGTCAAATCCTCCGTACCGATGAATCCAAAGATGCCCAAGCGGTAATTGAAGGAGACGAACACAATGCCTTGTTCAAGGAAATAGTCTGGACCGTGTCCAGCGTAGGTCGAGTCACCAACAGCAAAAGCTCCTCCGGCCATGTATACCAGAACTGCCAACGAACCATTTAACTAGAAAGAAAAAAATCAATATTTTTTCATCCTCATTAGGTCTGCTGGTCAGTTCATTAATTCGTTTGTTCGTTTGTTCGTTTGTTCGTTTGTTCGTTTGTTCGTTTGTTCGTTTGTTCGTTTGTTCGTTTGTTCGTTTGTTCGTTTGTTCGTTTGTTCGTTTGTTCGTTTGTTCGTTTGTTCGTTTGTTCGTTTGTTCGTTTGTTCGTTTGTTCGTTTGTTCGTTTGTTCGTTTGTTCGTTTGTTCGTTTGTTCGTTTGTTCGTTTGTTCGTTTGTTCGTTTGTTCGTTTGTTCGTTTGTTCGTTTGTTCGTTTGTTCGTTTGTTCGTTTGTTCGTTTGTTCGTTTGTTCGTTTGTTCGTTTGTTCGTTTGTTCGTTTGTTCGTTTGTTCGTTTGTTCGTTTGTTCGTTTGTTCGTTTGTTCGTTTGTTCGTTTGTTCGTTTGTTCGTTTGTTCGTTTGTTCGTTTGTTCGTTTGTTCGTTTGTTCGTTTGTTCGTTTGTTCGTTTGTTCGTTTGTTCGTTTGTTCGTTTGTTCGTTTGTTCGTTTGTTCGTTTGTTCGTTTGTTCGTTTGTTCGTTTGTTCGTTTGTTCGTTTGTTCGTTTGTTCGTTTGTTCGTTTGTTCGTTTGTTCGTTTGTTCGTTTGTTCGTTTGTTCGTTTGTTCGTTTGTTCGTTTGTTCGTTTGTTCGTTTGTTCGTTTGTTCGTTTGTTCGTTTGTTCGTTTGTTCGTTTGTTCGTTTGTTCGTTTGTTCGTTTGTTCGTTTGTTCGTTTGTTCGTTTGTTCGTTTGTTCGTTTGTTCGTTTGTTCGTTTGTTCGTTTGTTCGTTTGTTCGTTTGTTCGTTTGTTCGTTTGTTCGTTTGTTCGTTTGTTCGTTTGTTCGTTTGTTCGTTTGTTCGTTTGTTCGTTTGTTCGTTTGTTCGTTTGTTCGTTTGTTCGTTTGTTCGTTTGTTCGTTTGTTCGTTTGTTCGTTTGTTCGTTTGTTCGTTTGTTCGTTTGTTCGTTTGTTCGTTTGTTCGTTTGTTCGTTTGTTCGTTTGTTCGTTTGTTCGTTTGTTCGTTTGTTCGTTTGTTCGTTTGTTCGTTTGTTCGTTTGTTCGTTTGTTCGTTTGTTCGTTTGTTCGTTTGTTCGTTTGTTCGTTTGTTCGTTTGTTCGTTTGTTCGTTTGTTCGTTTGTTCGTTTGTTCGTTTGTTCGTTTGTTCGTTTGTTCGTTTGTTCGTTTGTTCGTTTGTTCGTTTGTTCGTTTGTTCGTTTGTTCGTTTGTTCGTTTGTTCGTTTGTTCGTTTGTTCGTTTGTTCGTTTGTTCGTTTGTTCGTTTGTTCGTTTGTTCGTTTGTTCGTTTGTTCGTTTGTTCGTTTGTTCGTTTGTTCGTTTGTTCGTTTGTTCGTTTGTTCGTTTGTTCGTTTGTTCGTTTGTTCGTTTGTTCGTTTGTTCGTTTGTTCGTTTGTTCGTTTGTTCGTTTGTTCGTTTGTTCGTTTGTTCGTTTGTTCGTTTGTTCGTTTGTTCGTTTGTTCGTTTGTTCGTTTGTTCGTTTGTTCGTTTGTTCATAGATTAAACAAACAATAGATAGACAATCCCTGTACAAATTGGTAACGCTCATAAATTGTACGCCAAATTCACATTAGTATTATCGTCAAATGTCAGATGGCGCTCTATCTCTTTTATCGATCGACTCGTAGTAAAATTGTGAAAGAATAATAGTCATCAAGATAAGGATCATGATTTATGGCTCACAACATGAAAGGGTCTTAACAGGTAGGAAAATAACTTGTATGAGGTATATAGATATGGTTCCTTCGATGATTATTTTTATTCACGCGCGTGTATAGGCATGCACCTGAACAAACTTAAATCTCAGGAAGTCTTCATTGTTTTTTTTACGGGGTAGGTCAAGATGAATTGAAACTTGATTTTGAAACGTATACTTTAAACATAGATTAAAAATGAATTGAAATATCTAAATAGCTGGAACTTATCGAATATACAGAGTGAGTAAAATTGTAGATCGAACATTTTAAAAATTTCAAAATATCGAGAATCTGAATAACATAATTATGGTTTGTCAATGGGTTATTCTATGATATAGGGTGGGTCAATATGCGTACGACCTTTTTGATCGCTTGAGTTCGTTGACGGCAGGTATCTTATTCAAAAACATTGATACCTACAATGATTGATATAATCTGTAATTTCAAATCATGACATAAATATACAGGGTGAGTTGAAGAGATTCCGATGAACTCAAGAGATAACTAAATCTACACCGAGATCTACACCTTCTCAAATCTTCAGAATCGACAGAATCTGATCAACTCATCAGTCGCCATTAGGATATTCCATAATATATACAGGGGGCTATAATAAGTACGTTCTCTTCGTATTGCCTGAGTTCTAGTTCTATAATAGCATTATGATAACTATAAATCACATTTAATATCGTTATGAAACCAAATCAAATAATCTCTGACTGGAAATCATTATCGAATATACAGGGCGAGTGAGTCAAATGGGATATTAATTTTGAGAATTCCAAGAGTTACAGCCGGAATCTACACTTTTTCAAATATCTAAAATCTGAGCAACTCTCTTCGATTCCGATAATTTCAAGAGATTACAATACACCTAAGTCTATATACCTTTCCATATCTACAGAATCGAGAGAATCTGGGAGCTACATATATACAGGGTGTTCCAGGTTGAACGTCATTGAATTTTATAAGCGATAAAACAATGGAAAAAAGTTGACTCATGGAAAAACTTTGGTTAAAAATACTTCCCATCAAAGATACAGGGTGTCAAATTTGTGGGCAGAAATTAGATTTCTCATCATTACTTCCAAACCACTCGACCGATTTTGATCAAATTTCGCACAGATACTAATGTATTTCATCTCTGAGTAATGATTGAGGTTATTCGAGGAAATTCTTCAGTGGCGTAGATAATGGGGGTCGACATATCCTTCTCCCTCACCTAATCTTCGGTTTCACTAAATATTTTACAAAAAGATTACATTTTTGGATTTCTTGTTCAATTTAGAGAATAAAAATACCTTTGCAAATGTTTGATTTATGGCTTAGTTTTCAAGATACTTATTCGAATTTAGAGGGTTGCATCAAGAAGGCTAAAATTTTCGAGGTTTTGTACAGGCTGTACTAGTATGGTTTTCAATAATGTTAATGAAGTAGGTACACATTACACTGTTGATTTTGATGATTCCAAACTTAACGCGGCCGCCGAGAACTCAATCGAGGTGTCTAAACTCTGAAACCCTGTATCTCTGTTAGGAAGCATTTTCAACCAAAGTTTTATCATGAAAGTCTACTTCTTTCCCGTTTTTCTGTCGCCTATCAAATTTAATGACGTTTAACCTGGACCACCCTGTATATATATACGTCCACCTCGATTGCTTGAGTTCGGGTTCTATATAATAGCATACAATAGCTATAAATAACATTTGATATCGTTATGAAACTATATCAAATAATCTATAACTGAAAACTATTATCGAATATACAGGGCGAGTCAAGTGGGATATTGAATTTAGAGAATTCCAACAGTGACAGCCAGCCAGAATCTACACTTTTTGAATCTCTAAAATTTGAGCAATTCAGTCATCAATAGGTTTTTCCATTTTTCTATCATACAGGGTGGATCAATAGTACGTCAATTATCGATCTAAAAAAAAAGTAAATTCGGACCCTTCGTGGTCAGTTCAGAATATTTCAAGAGTGGGCCAGTAAAATAAAATTGTAACATTGAAATAACTTGAGGGAGTAAAAAATACACAATTGATGAATATTTCAACCCAACATATTCATAGATACTATTTAAATACCATCATGATTTTTGATTACTCCTTTCTACGAAAAGAGAGATCGTGGTTGGGAAGCAATTTACTTTCCATTAAAAAGGTATTAAATTTTGTATTTAATTTGATGAAATGAAAATCAAAAGAAAATTTGAATATTCAAAGTTATTGGACACAATTGAAGGATTCGAAGACCTAGGAATAATAGATGGTAGATCTAAGACGACGGGGACACAAGTGATGGTACTTTTGGCCAGAGGACTATATTCCAAGTGGAAGATTCCATTAGGATATTTTGTCTGTGGTAGTGCTATGAAACATACCATCCTGAAAGAAGTGATCATCAAAGCCATTCAACAGGTGACAAATACTGGCCTTATTGTCAAGGCAGTAGTGTGTGACCAGGGAACAAACAACCAGGCAGCTATGAGGAATTCACATGTCTCCATTGAAAAACCATATTTTGAAATCGAAGGCCGAAGAATATATTGTATTTTTGATCCGCTCCATTTGTTCAAGAACTTTAGAAATAATTTATTGCACCATGACTTTATCTGGATGAATAGGAGAGTATCGTTTGATGATGTGAGGAAGACATATAATATTGACACATGTAGTACAACAAGGACTTTACTCAAGATCACTCCTGCCCACATGAATCCATCAGCATTCGAAAAAATGAGTTGTCGGTTGGCACTCCAAATTTTCAGCAATTCTATTGCCGCAGCTATTAGAACTTGTCATGAAACCAAACAATTAGAAAGTGATACTGCTCTTGCTACAGCAGATTTCTTCCAGATGATGAATAATTTGTTCGATTGTTTGAACAGTAAGCAGTTGTATTCCAAGAATCCATATAGTTGCGCAATGTCCGATGAACGCCCTATATATAGTCGAAAATACGATCATTTCTGCAAGAGATACATTGATAGAAATTAAGAAAGTTACTACAACTGGATATTCTAGACCTGACTGTCTTGATGGAATATTGATCACTTTGTCTTCAATATTGGGAATTTATAATGAACAAAAAGAATTAGGATTCACTTATTTATTAACAACAGATTAAATCAAGATGTTATTGAAAATACTTTTTCAAGTGTAAGGCAAAGAGGTGGATTCAATCCAAACCCAACGGTTAGAACTTTCAGGTGTACCTTTCGTATCATAGCAAAAATGAACTTAATGAAGTCAT